GCGTCTGCCCACCTTCGTGAGGTGCATCCCGCGCGGGCGTGCCGGCGACAAGCCGAAGGGCCTGCACCAGTGCAGCGAGGCCGAGCTGGAGCGTTGGCGGAGGCACGACTTCTGTTATGCGCCGTACCAGTTTCGAGATCCTCACTGTCTGCGATGGCAAGGAGGTGCGCTGGAGCCTGCGGATTCCTTTGAGAGAGAGATGTTGATGGACTTCCCACCTGGGCACACGGCGACAGCGCGGGCCACGCGATTCCGCAAGCTGGCTGAGCTCGAGGTGGTACGATGCGCCCTGCTGGGCAACTCGTTCCAGTGCGGCGTGGTGGCTTGGATAGTGGCGCACTGGGCTCACCGACACGGCTACCTGGACACGGTCCCCACGATGGCGGAGGCGCGCGCGGTCGGAGGCGCCTTCGACGCTGCCGAGGGCCTGGTGCAGGTAGCCAAGGAGGGCGACGACAGCGGGGTCGTGATCAGGGACCGTGGCCTTGAAGAGGCCGAGGCGCAGGCGGACCCGAGCATCCAGATCGTGGAGGAGCTGATCCGGCGAGCTGAGGTGAGGGGCTCGGACGTGCGCCTCGACACGCTGGAGGTCATGCGCCCTGACTTGTGGCCACGCCGCCCGATCAGCGTGAGCCGCTGGACGTGGAAGACAGTGCTGGTCTGGAAGTGGAGGTGGAAGAGCCACATCACGGCGCTGGAAGTGCTGAGCACGCTGGCAGGCCTTCGCTGGCGCTTCAGAGTGGGCCATCACCTTGGCACGAGGTTCGCTCATCTGATGGATTCGCAGGTTGGACTTGGTGTGATATCGCGGGGGCGCTCCTCCTCGCATCTGCTCAACGCAGCCGTCAAGAGGATCTCAGCTCTGGTCCTGGCGGCGTCGGCAAGACCGATCTACGGGTACACCGAGACCGACAAGAACCCAGCCGACGACCCTTCGAGGGAAGGCGGCACGTCAGGTGACAGCAATGCCAAGGAAGCGTCGCATTGACTATGAGATAGACTTGGTGTCCCGCGTTCGGGTGCGACGCGCGATTGGCAGATTATCACACACACTAGTTCAACCTCGTACGTTTCGCAGATATGGTCAGATGGTGCAAAGCTTTGTCTCTTGGATTCGTGCCCATGGTATCGACGTGGCCACTGACCTGGAGCAGCTCGACTTCCAATTATGTGAATGGATAGAGACGCTATGGGCGCATGGGAGGCCTGCTGGAGATGCTGGGGCCACCTTGTCTGGCGTGCAGTTTTTCTTGCGACGCAAGAGAGTCTTTCACAGTGCGTGGAACCTGCTGAAGGCTTGGCAACGGACTGAGATGCCACGAAGAGCACCACCCATGCCAGAATATGTGCTGATGTCACTTGCCACGGTGGCTCGATCCTGGAGTCGAAATGACATAGCGGTGCTGCTTGTGATTGGTTACTCCGTATTCTTGCGAACAATGGAGCTTCTTACTCTCCGTAAGTGGCAGCTGCAGTTCAGCAACGACGGCCTCAGCCTTGTCATAGCCCTGCCAGTGACCAAGGCAGGCAAGAGACGACACTGCGAGGAGTCCGTCACACTCCACGACGCCAGGATTGTTCACTTCATCAAAGTGCTCACTCAGCATTTGCCGCCTGAGAGCTCGTTGCTGCAGGGCACCGTGCCCGAATTTCGTGATGTGTTCAAAGCTCTCTTGAGGTCGTTGAACCTCGAGCGGCACGGTTATCAGATATATTCCTTACGCCGAAGGGGTGCCACCACTCATTACAGAAGGTTCGAGAACATGGGCTTGACTTTGATAGTGGGGAGATGGCAAGACACAGCTGTGGCCAGACTGTACATCAGTGACGGTGTGCAAACTTTGCTGCAGAACGATTTCTTGCCTGCAGAATTGGAACGATTTCGTGTACTGGCGAGTGCTCTTAACTTTGATGTGGGTTGAGATGAAAAGAAGGAGCAAAATATCTGAGCAGCTTCGCTGTCAGCATTTTCCTGACCCTCCCACCCGTCCCTGGGGATTAATGGCGGTAAACCAGAAAGGGGTGCATGGAAAGGGGTCCCGGGGGGGGGTTCGGACTCGCGTCGAGCGCTGCCGCCCTCACCCGAGGGGGTTCGGACTCGCGTCGCGCTGCCGCTCCCGGTCAACTCCGAGGGGTCGGACTCGCGTCGCGCTGCCGCCCCTGGCCAGGCTTCGGAGTCCCCGGAGGACATGGGGGGGGTCTCCGCTGGCAGCCCCCCTGTAGCACAAAACCTCTGGTGAGAGGAGCAAAAAGGAGAGAGACGGGGAAAGGGGACACAGAGATAAATATCCTTGAGATTCTCATGGGTTTTATCTCGTCCCCCCTCCGTCCTCGAAACGATCTCCTCTAAACCGCCTCTCCGTAGCCGCCTCGGCCCCGCCCTGTAACCCTGCCCAAGCCGAGTTGGCTAAAAGATGTGCCGATTGCGAGCCATCTGAGGATGTGCTGACGCCATCCCAGCAGGAGTGCCAGGGAAAGGGGTCCCGGGGGGGGGTTCGGACTCGCGTCGAGCGCTGCCGCCCTCACCCGAGGGGGTTCGGACTCGCGTCGCGCTGCCGCTCCCGGTCAACTCCGAGGGGTCGGACTCGCGTCGCGCTGCCGCCCCTGGCCAGGCTTCGGAGTCCCCGGAGGACATGGGGGGGGTCTCCGCTGGCAGCCCCCCTGTAGCACAAAACCTCTGGTGAGAGGAGCAAAAAGGAGAGAGACGGGGAAAGGGGACACAGAGATAAATATATATATATATATATATATGTATATATATACATATATATACACACACACACCTATACGACCACCCTTCGGGTGATAAGGAGGTGAGGGGGGGAGGGACCAACGTCGCACTCGATCGATCTCATTATCGATCTCACTATCGATCTCATTATCGATCTCATTCGATCGATCTCACAGTCGATCTGACTATCGATCTCACAATCGATCTCACTATTGATCTCACAATCGATCTCACAATCGGTCTCACTATCGATCTCACTATCGATATCACAATCGATCTCACAATCGATCTCACATTCGGTCTCACTATCGATCTCACTATCGATATCACCATCGATCTCATTTGATCGATCTCACAATCAATCTGACTATCGATCTCACAATCGATCTCACTATCGATCTCACACTCGATCTCACATTCGGTCTCACTATCGATCTCACTATCGATATCACAATCGATCTCACAATCCACGTCATCATCATCATCATCATTAAGATCATCAGCATCATCACCATCATCACCATCATCACCATCACCACCACCATCATCATCATCACCATCATCACCATCATCACCATCCTCACCATCATCACCATCATCATCATCATCACCACCATCATCATCATCTTCTTCTCCATCATCATCATCATCATCATCACCATCACCATCACCATCATCCTCCTCATCATAATCATCACCACCACCATCACCATCATCATCAGTACTCGCTCTATCTCACTATCGATCTCACTGTCGATCTCATTATCGATCTCATTCGATCGATCTCACAATCGATCTGACTATCGATCTCACAATCGATCTCACTATTGATCTCACAATCGATCTCACAATCGGTCTCACTATCGATCTCACTATCGATATCACAATCGATCTCACAATCGATCTCACATTCGGTCTCACTATCGATCTCACTATCGATATCACCATCGATCTCATTCGATCGATCTCACAATCAATCTGACTATCGATCTCACAATCGATCTCACTATCGATCTCACACTCGATCTCACATTCGGTCTCACTATCGATCTCACTGTCGATATCACAATCGATCTCACAATCCACGTCATCCTCATCATCAACATCATCATCACCATCATCATCATCATCACCATCATCACCATCATCACCATCATCACCATCATCACCATCATCACCATCATCAGCATCATCATGATCATCAGCATCATCACCATCATCACCATCATCACCATCATCACTACCATCATCATCATCATCACCATCATGATCATCATCATCTCCATCATCATCATAAGCATCATCATCATCATCATCAGCATCTTCATCATCATCATCACCATCACCATCACCATCATCATCATCACCATCATCATCATCATCACCATCAAATTCACCATCATCATTATCATCATCATCATCACCATTATCATCATCATCATCATCATCATCATCTTCATCATCTTCATCATCATCATCATCACCATCACCGTCATAAGCATCATCATCATTATCATCATCATCATCATCGCCATCCCCATCATCATCATCACCATCATCATCACCATCATCATCAACACCATCATCATCATCATCATCACCATCATCATCATCATCATCATCATCATCATCATCATCATCATCATCATCATCATCATCATCGGGACACCGACGGGACACTGGCAGGACACCAGCAGGACACCAGCGTGACATCGGCGGGACACCGCCCGGCCCCGAACGCCGGGTCGCCAAACATTTGGTCGGGCCGCGCCTCAGCCACAGGAGACTGTCTCTCGCCCGCCCACGCAGCTTCGCCTCGCCCGCACTCGCGGCACGCACAAACACGACACCGAAATCGATTTCCTGGTAGGGGGGCTCTTCGTTCCACTTCGATCTCACCCCCTCACCTCTGATATGTTCATATATATATATATATATATGTATATACATATACACATATATATATATATACATATCTCTCTCTCTCTATATATATATATATATATACGTATCATATCCGCCGCCCGCAGGGGCACCAGGACGTCGTTTCCCAGGCGGTGGATATGGATAAGTCCCCGCCTCGCAGTATTGTGTGACCTCTCCCCATTCCCACGGGGCCATGGTGGTATCTCGGCCCCTCCAGCCCACCACCCCAGTTGGGGATGGGCCCCTCGAGACCCGAAGGGAACGGCATCCGCATCTCGAGGGGCAAGGCGGCCAGTGCGGCCCAGGCCCCAGTGGGGACAGAGATCGGTCAAGCGATGCTCAGGCGCCGCCCCGCCGGTGGCCGGCGCGGGCGCCCGCCAGGGCCTCGCCGAGCGCTGGCGCCGCCTCGTGGGCGGGCTGCCGAAGACGGCCACGCGGGTCCTGGTCGGCCTCGCGCTCGCGGAGCCGCCGCTCACGCTGGCGGCGACGGACGGCGACGGTGTCGTCCTGGAGATTCTCTCGGGCGTCACGGCTGGACGCAGCTCGAGGCCCGGCTGGGATGGGGTCCGAGGGCCGGGCCGACTCGGAGCGGATGCTGCTGCGCGCCCCAGTGGGCGTCGCGCTCGCGGAGCCGCCGCCCACGGGAGGGACGCTCGTGGCCCTTTTTGTGCGGAGCCTGCCGGGGGGGGCCGTCCCTCGAGGCCTCCCTGGAGGCCTCCCTGGAGGCCTCTGGAGCTCCGGAGGCCTACGCGGGACTGCCGTGGGCCTCCCTCCTCCCTTCGCCCTCGTCCATGCTCTCTCCTCCCCCCTCGACTGGTCGTGCCTGGCCAATGTTACTACCACTTCGTTCCGCTCGCTCACGTTCGTGGCCTGTCTGTCCACCGCTCGTCCCCACAGCCTTCTCCCCCCATCCCCCCCTTCAACATAAACGCTGGGATGATGAGATAAGGGCACTTTTTGTAGAGGCCTGCGGCATGTGCCGCCGATCCAGGACGCTCTTGGAGTCGTCGTGGGCGCCTCTTGGGCTGCCTTGGAGGTCTCGTGGGGCGTCTGCGGGCTCTCGGGGGCTGCTGAGGGCTTCTGGAAGCCCTCTGGAAGCCCTCTTGTGGACAGGGGGAACTGGGGACGCCGGGGGGAAGGGGGGGGGGGGGAGATGGGGGCTCCCTCCACCTGGTTCCAGGGGGGGTCCTTGGGACCCTCCCCCACTTACGGGATGGGCAGGTCAATCACAAAAGGGGTCCTCCGGGCGGGGGGGGGGGGCCAGTTCAGCGCACGCCCCCCGCCCACCTCCCCCTTTCCGGCAGAGCCACCGCGGCCCCCCCCCCAGCAGAGTTGAGCTGAAGCTCAGGCTCTGTTCAACTTTCACGCGCATGATCGGCAGATTTACTCGTGTCGCTCATTCTGCCGGCCCGTATTGTGCCATCGCTGGCGCTTGCCTGCGCGTTCGTGGCCCACGCGGCGCTGCTTGGCGGTGGTTTTTTCCTGGAGGCACTGCAACAGCAGGCACAGAGGCGACGTAGTTTCTTTGAAGGTTGTCGTGGGGGTTTCTGGCCTCTACTGTCCGACCGCCGCGCCCTTTTTTATTTTCTTTTTATTATCGATTTTGTGTTGCCACGACGATAAATCCGACAGATAATTGTATATTTCTGACGCATTTTGCCGTTTTGTTCCAGGCTTCATGTTGGCGTCTATGTTGGTTTTCAAAATCATTTCTAATGTTATCAGCCGTACTATTTATGGTGTATCACTACCAACTGATCCATTGACTCCGCCCTGACGTGGCTTAGAAAATATCTAAATCAAATTCTACTTCGATTGAGGTGCAGAGTCCTCAGGCATGCTCCTTGGGGTCTCTTCGGAGCGCTCTCGGGGATGTCTGGGGGGCAGTTTCGGGGGCCTCTTGGGAACTCTTGGGGGCCTCGTAGGGGGCCTCGTAAGGGGGCCTCTTGGACTTCCTTGGGGCCTCTTCGGGGCCTCATGGGGTCTCTTGGGGGCCACTTGGGGCGCCCTTGGGGGCTTCGTGCGGCCGAGGGGTCGACGTGTTCGTTCGGCTCCCTGTTGGAGCCGTCTTGGGGGCACCACGGGAAGTGACAAGAGCTGAGCGTGCGCTCGCACGTGGACGAAGTTTCACACACACCTTGAGACGCCTCGAGCCTACCTTGGGAAGACGAAGAAGGGGGCCTCTTGGATCCCCTCGGAGGCTTTTTGGGCCGTCTTTGGGCCCCTTTGCGCCGTCTTGGGGCCCCCTTGGAGGCCTCTTGGGCCAACTTGGGGCGATCTTGGGGGCTTCTGGGGCCTGAGTGTCCGGAACCCGAAAAGGTGAGAGCGCTAAAATCCTTGTAAAACCAACGGGAAGTCAAACATGTTTGCCTCCTGAAGCCCTCTTGGGAGTGCTGTTGGAGGCCTCAGCAGGCGTCTTGGAGGTCTCTTAGGCCGTCTGGAGCCCATCTTGGGCATTTTGGAGCGATCTTCGGGCGTCTCGGACCCCTCCTGGACCGTCTTGGGTGCCTCTTGGGGCCCTTTTGGCCGTCTTCCCCTTGGGCAAAGTGTCTCGGGGTACTTTTCGACCGGGGCCGCCATGCGCGTGCGAACTAGAAACACTGTAAACCTGCTACCAGAGATCTTAGCACCCCTGTGGCCCGTTGGGCCGCCGCGTTCACAAATATTCCCTCGGCGAGAGCACGCCAGGGGAGCATGCTCACAGAAGGCATGGGGACATCAATGACATAACCTGGACACGTTTGGTAATCAGTATTCCACAAAGGCAGAATATGGAGGACCAGCTCGTGGCCTCGAAATGAGGCCATTCACACTTTTCCTCGAGGGCTCTGGCTATTCCCGCC